TTGATTGCTCTTGGTTATAAGAAAACCTTGGAAAGCTTGGGTTAAGAGTTTGGACTTCCTAGAAGGCAACCATGTGATTTCACAAATCATTCCCTGATACTTTTGTAAGAAATGTATTGGATAAATAATTAGCTTGATCTAGAATGGTCATTAAAGTATGATAAGCTCAGGCAAATGCTGCAGACAACGAAAAAAGGAAATCTGATGTTTTCCTAATATTCTTTACACATAGTCCAACATATGATTTGTTGGTTTTTTTTTTTTTAGTCAGAGTCTTGCTCTGCCACCCAGGCTGGAGTGCAGTGGCACAATCTCAGCTCGCTGCACCTTTGCCTTCCAGGTTCAAGCAATTCTCCTGCCTTAGCCTCCCAAGTAGCTGGGATTACAAGTATGCACCACCATGCCCAGCTAATTTTTGTATTTTTAGTAGAGTCAGCGTTTTGCCATGTTGTGCAGGCTGGTCTCAAACTCCTGGCCTCAAGTGATCCAGCCGCCTCAGCCTCCCAAAGTGTTGGGATTACAGGCGTGGGCCACCACGTCTGGCCTGTGGTTATTTTCTTTTAGTTTACTGTCTTTAAGACTTCTGACATACTTGTTTTGTGATCTCGTTACTTCTAGATTCAATATTTATATAGAACCAGTCCTCACCTGTGTATCAATCTTTCATCCATTCTTCCATATCTAGCTATAAGAGGAAGAAAAACACAAAAGGGAGGAGATAGAGGGCAAGGAAAAGCATCTTTAAGATGATTTGGACTTGGATGGACGGGATTGTAAAGTGAATCTAAGCGCCACATCTCTCCATTGCTTCCTCTGGCTATGAGGGCAGAGAGGTACCTTTTTGTCCCTAGGGAGGTAGGCTTGACCAGGAAGGGGACCTGATTCATTTCGCCCAGGCTGTCACAGCTTCGAGAGCGCCTCTCCGCTCTTTCTGTCCCTCGACAGACCAGCTGAGCTCTTTGGAGTGATGTTGGGTTTTGGTTTGCGCTTCAGGAACCTCTGATACTGATTTTTACCTGATGCCTTCTCTTTATATTTTAAGTGCCAGATTTTGAGGGGCAGTATTATCCTTTTAAAAAGAGCAGAGATTCCAGTGTTTTAGCCAAGATGTTTTCTTATTTTCTCCCTATAAATCCTGTATTTGCCTAAATGTTTACAACTAAAATGTGTGTTATTTTTCTTTCCTCTCCTAATTGGCTATGAATAGTAATGTCAGTTGTAAACCTTTAAGATGTTGAGAGTAGTTGTTAAACCCCCCATCCAACCTTGTTGAAACCCTAAGTTTCTGAGCCTCCTGATTAAGCAGCACAAAATCATGGGTGATTCTCCTCTGCTTCTTCTGAAATAAATTAATATGAAGTGCCATCTCAACCGACAGCATAAATGCATGTGAAACTTTGAGATTGCACAGTGTAGTAGAGAGTGGTTACGAAAACATAGCCCCTGGCCTCACTCTGACCCTTAATAGTTGTGTGACCTCTGATAGGTTTGGTCATTGCCCCAGTTTCCTCATTTCAAAACTAGTACAGAGGATAAGAATATTTATCTGACAAAATAACCAGACTAAATGAATTTAAGAAGCTAAGCACTTAAAATAGTACCTTGTATATAGTAAGTACTGTGAAAGTATTAAGTGATAAAAGATCATCTTTTATAGAATTTTGAACTTTAAAGTTTAGTCAAATAGCTTGTTTTAGTAAGATTGAGTTCTAAGGCATTTATTCAGTCTAAAGTATTTTTAGTATAATCATTTTCGTGTAGTATGAAATTGCACTCAAGAAGGGCCATTTGGTCAAACTGACAACTCTCTGACAAACGTCTGCTGTAGGTGTTTCTTATTGTTGGTGTTTGATTTGTCTTTCATGTGTCAGTTTTGACTGATGAGTAATTGTCAGAGTACTGATAACTTGTTGGAGTCGAGTGTAGCCCTGAGTACTCAGTCTGAATAAAGCATTTGGTTTTTGTAGCCCAGAGAACCTTAAATGTGACTTCTCTTCATTTTAGTCTGTAAACTTGTCAATTAGCCACATTGAAAAGTGATTTTTGCCTAGTGCAATCAGTAAACATGGAATCTTTTCTGTGATTGCCACGCTGATTAGGTAAATTGTCACTTGAGAAGCTATTGGCGAAGCTTGGTTTACATGGCCTTAGAGCTCTAGAAAAGGGATAAGTTTTTAAAGACCAAAGGAAAAAATTAACTGTTATTTTTCTACTCTCGCCTGTACCTTCTGAAGTGCAATTCACTATCTCAGAATTTTTTTTCTTCCTCTCAAATGGATCTTCTGTTAGAGCCATACAAATGAATGATAATAAGTTTGTTTTACCATCTACTTCATTACAGATCAGCCAGGAAATATTTCTACTTTATGAATACTTCCAGGTTATATATGTTACTAAGAGCCATATAAAGAAATTTGGTTAAAAATAACCTTGAAATATTTCTTTGAGCCTTTTTATTTTTCTTTTTGGATTGAAAACAAGGAGTGTTTTAATAATTGCATCAGAGTTTATTGAAAGTTTTGGAAAATTTGCTTAGGTTTTAACAAAAAACTGTTAATATTCGTATGTGCTGAATTTATATGGAAAAAAAAATTGTCCTGGCGGTGAGAGATAGAAAATGGAAAATAGAGAGGCAACTGGCACACTAGAAGTGATATATTAGGAACATTTGCTGTTTTTTAAGAAATTTCTAGGTGTATAGGTTAGACAATTATTTCCTCCTCCAAAAAAAGCATTTATACTTAGTAAACTTTACATTCCAGTTCTACTTAGAAATACTGCTGTGCTTAATCTAAGAATAGCATGTTTGAGTCTAATGAATATATATTACGGGTGTTGATGGCTTCATCTGCATTAGCACAGTTTCTAGGAGAAAATATACAAGTTTTTTTCCCGTCTTTATTTTTCTTAAAACATTAGATTGTTTCTGAAGGTTTCTCTTAATGTAGCTGTATCTTTGTATTGTCTTCATTCGATTTTAACGTCATTAGGGAGCCACCGTGGAAGCTTTCATAAGTACCATGGAGAATGTGTATCCTGCGATTATACCATATGTAAAGAGACACCAGGCAACCGCAATATGGAATTAAGTCCTAATGGTAAAAAAGGGTGTGTTTCCAGGGTAACCACAGTGATTCCAGGGGATGTGAAGTATAGAGGTAGACAGGGGTCCGGATGAATATTTGCTGTACTGCTTTTGACTTCTGTTTTTTACATTTGTAAATTTTGTATATATAAGGGCACTAAAATGAAATTCTTCTGGGAACATTTTAACTGATTCTCACTAAACTAATTTTGTACATGAGCTGAAAAAGTGGCTCAAACATTGATTTTACTTTCAGTAGATTACTTTCTCACAAATGGTAACTCATTGAAAGTCATATGTAAATGTATCTTAAGTTTTTGCGTAGAAATAAACCATACAAATGATTGCCATTATTGTAAGAATTTTTTACTTTTACCTCTTCAGAAAATTGATTTTTTGATAGTGTATAGTCTGTAGTAATGACTCAGAACTTACTCTGGGCCTAGGGTGGGGAACTGTCTTCGTCTGTTTTCTGTGGAGTGTGTGGTAATCAGCATCCTCCACATTGTTACTCAGTTTGACTGCTAGTAGTTTGGTTTTTAAGAGATGAAAAAGGAACTTAATTCCAATTGACTAAAGATACTACCTTTTAATTCACAATGGGAATCTGCCTGGAAGTGACAGCTGGTGAAGGGCTTCCTGCACCTTTCTGAGAGGTATGTTTGGCACCCATGGGTATGGCTGCAGAAACTTTTCCAGCTGGCCATGGACTGAGGTGGGAGTGGCTGTGGCAGCTGCAGATTGCCCACCTTCAGGTAGTTTGTCCACATAAAGAAAATTTTCTTCAGTCTGGCCTTCTCAGCATGTCAAGATGGGAAGGAAGCCCAGGGCTGAGGCCGCCAGTTGTGAGCTAGAATCATTGTGAGCAGCTAGATATTTTATTGATTCCATGTTCTTTGGTATGGGGCTTTTAAAGCGTGATTCTACTTTTTTCTTTCTCTCTCTCTCTCTTAAGTAAAAAACCATATATATTTTTGGTTTCTAACCAGAGATAAGCTGTCAACTCTTCTATTCTTTAAGCAAGTAATTTTGAAAAGCATTTTTTAGTTTGTGTTTCTATTAAAATGTGAGCCTGAATACATTATGGTAAGCCTTGTTGTCCTTGGTCTCGGGAGTCTAGAGGAGGTTACTGTCCTCGCACGGTGATCTCATTAGACAACTTCTGGAACCAGCAGTTTTAATTAGGTCACAGCAGACCCCGCTGAAGGTGAAGTGACTGCAAGCTGTGGTTCGTTGATATAGACAGGCCCAGATGTTTCTTTCATCCCATATCCGTCAGTTTACATAGAAGAGCTGGAGCCATTTAATTGTTTCTTCTAGTTAGATGATGTTGCTAGTTCAGCTTTGTGTTACAAGAAAACTATCAGAAAAGATGGAGAAATGGGTGATCCCTTCCTTAACCTGTTTTCTTGGTTTGTGTTGGAGAGATTGTGTGTGCTTTGTTTAATGTTAATGATAGCAATTTATGCCTTCAGAAGGAAAATTTCAGGATTTCTGTTGTAGATACTATTCATTCAGTTTGTATTAATTCTATTTATGGAAAAGAACTAAACCTTTCCTTTTGCACAGCATTTAAAATATAAATGTAAAAACTGTGTAAAATATATATATCTTTACTTACACACACTTACACACACACACACACACACACACACACACACGATTATGTGAGTTTAGTGGCCAGGGATTACTAAACCTATTTTGTTATCAAAGGAAAAATAATAAAACAAAAAATTTGCTGACCCTGTTAGTTACCTATCTTTATACGTTTGTGGCGTGTGTTATTATGATACTAGTTTATTTAGTTTACAGTCTTTCTCAGATTCTTTTCAAGAACTTCTAATTATAAAATATTGGGTAGTTGAATATTGGTTACTTTAAAAAATCTTCTTAATCCTTTCTGTTTCTTTTTCAGATATGAGGCCTCAGGATTCCTGGCGAGGTCCTCCTCCCCTTTTCCAGCAGCAAAGGTTTGACAGGTAATATTAAAGTAGACATGACTTTTAAATACTTTCTGACACCAACATTTGGGGCTTACGGGTTTTATGGAAGCTAAAACCTCCGTGGTTTGAAATGTACTTTTTCCCACCAAAAACAGTTTCCCTTGTGCCTATCCTTTAAAAAGGAAGTATATAGCTAATACTTTGAATTGAAAGACTCATGTTTAATATACTTTCTTACTTTTCTTGGTTCTTTGCCTTTATTTTATTGATGCTTTTGAGATGCCCTGAAAAATGCAACACAGCTTAAAACGGTATTAGGTTTTGGTCAGGCTAAACAAATTTCTTTTTAGAAGGGTTGTGCAGCTTAATGAGGCATAACTAATGGTGTTCCACTTTTATCATTTCTGTGCGGGCAATGCAGCGTTAGTACAGACCAACCATTGATTCTTGCTGCAAACCTCTTGAAGTCCTAATCAGCTTCTTTGGTACAACTTTTTCAGGGCTGACAAGCCTATTGTAGGGCAGTGTCACTGTAGGTCAGTAGTTATTAGTTGCCACTGAAAACAGTTTCTTTAACTACTTAAGACTGAACTGAATTAAACGCAGAAGGGACTCAGAAGAGGATTATGGGATCTGCAGTCTAATAAGTACCATGGACTAGGAAGAATGTGACATGGTTTAATAACAAGGGATGTTTAACATGTATTCCTTCATTGATAAGTTGTATGCTCCTAAGTCAGATGGACTCTGTACGACAAGACAACTAGGCACGTTATGAATAATTAACTTCTGTAGAATAATTTTTAAAGGCCAGCTTTAAAATGCAATCATTTCACGATGGTTTTGCCAACATCAGTAAATGCAAAAACAAATTAAGCCACATCATAATAAGGCTTTCTTTTTTGCCTTCCCAGTTTTAATCTGTTCTATTATCTTCTCCTCTGCCATGTTAACAATCTCTAATCTGTTCACATCTGAAATGAATAAAGTGTTTTTATAAATGGGGTTCTAAATGCAGCTCCCCTTTTAAGAAAACTTTATAACTCTTTAGAGACTCCAAAACTTCATTTCACTGTTATCTTCAAGAGGATAAAAGGAATCATGTTATTCGATGTTTACTGATAGTATCAACTTAGTGCAAGTCTCATTAAATGTAGTACGACTAGCAATGTGTGTATTAATGTTTTGATTTTAGTATATTTTCTGAAAGCACACAGTATGTGTTGTTTCATTTTCCTTGGTACCACCAATTTTAAGCAGAAATTAAATGAGTAAGGGGTAAATTTTTCCTAAATTATATACTTGGTTTCCCTATCTTATTGCTCACTTTCCATACTGATAATAATGGCAAATGTTTCTCTGCTTACGAAATGTTAACACTGTTCACATCCTTTAATAAGAATGATTTCATTTATTCCTCCCAGCAATGCATTGAAATAGATGCTATTATTTTTACATTTTTGCAAATGAAGAAAGTGAGGCACGGAGAAGTTCAGCAGCTTACCTAAGGTCACTCTTTTGTGCCATTCTTTACCAAGAAACTTTTCACTGGAACAAAACTTACCAGAATATTTACTCTGAGCATAATATAAAGACGTAGGGACTTCAAAGGAAGTAAAGGATCTGTTTCCACTTCTAAGGCCCCAACAGCTTTCCTCCCCTCTGTTCACATTGAAAGTTTTCCTAAGATCGTCATCATTGTCCCTTCCCTTGCCCTGCTGTCCATCAGGTTTTGTTCTTATTCTACCCTAGCCAAGTACTAGTATTATTCTGACTTTGTGAACCCAGCAGGTTAGTGACAAGTTTTGTGGGGATGTTTTTTGGTTTAGTTTTAGTCAAATACTTAAAATTATACCTGAAAGCAAAAGGTAAATGTGAGCATAATAGAGTTCTATCATAAAAGTCCTACAGACATTTAAGAAATACACCATTTTGTCCAGAACCAGGTTTTTACGAGTCCTTAGTTCAGTATGTTTCCATGGCACTATTCTGAGTGTTCGTTGAGAATCCTATTAAGAGACTTTTGAGTGTCTTTTTTTTTTTTAATTACATTGCATTTCTTGAATATTTTCTACTTCAAGATGGTATGTATAATCCATATATCCAGTAGATTTAAAAATACAACAGGAACATCCTCCCAACACAGACACAGCCTAGAGTTAATAGATACCCAGCGTTATCTTTGTCACTTGAGTTCTGCCACATTGTTTGGATTCTTCTTGTCGATGGAGGCCTCTTTTTCAGTCATTTGCAAGGCAGCCATTTAATTTTTTTCCTATGGGTGTTAAGCTCAATCATGAAATATATTTTAAAACTCTGGTTTTACCATATGTATACATTTAAAATATCCAAATTCAGGGCCGGGCGCGGTGGCTCAAGCCTGTAATCCCAGCACTTTGGGAGGCCGAGACGGGCGGATCACGAGGTCAGGAGATCGAGACCATCCTGGCTAACACGGTGAAACCCCGTCTCTACTAAAAATACAAAAAACTAGCCGGGCGAGGTGGCGGGCGCCTGTAGTCCCAGCTACTCGGGAGGCTGAGGCCGGAGAATGGCGTGAACCCGGGAGGCGGAGCTTGCAGTGAGCTGAGATCCGGCCATTGCACTCCAACCTGGGCGGCAGAGCGAGACTTCGCCTCAAAAAAAAAAAAAAAAAAAATCCAAATTCATAGTAGTTCACATTGCCAGTAACTTTCCAAAACAATCTGGAAACTTAAGAATATTGTTGTCATCTACGATGCCAAATGGCTCAAATAAGTTGCCTTATTTATTAACTTTATTTATTTATTTATTTATTTATTTACTGAGACAAGGTCTCACTCCATCACCTAGGCTAGAGTGTAATGTCATGATCTTGGCTCACTGCAGCTTCTGCCATCCAGATTCAAGTGATTCTTATGCCTCAGCCTCCCAAGTAGCTGGGACTGCAGGCCCCTACACTACCATGCCTGGCTGATTTTTGTATTTTTATTAGAGACGGGGTTTTGCCATGTTGCCCAGGCTGGTCTCAAACTCCTGCTGAAGTGATCTGCCTGCCTCGGCCTCCTGGAGTGCTGGATGACAGGCTGAGCTACTGTGCCTGGCCTCATTGCTAATTTTTAGAAGTTAGGATATGTCAGTCTCTGTGCTTCCATCCCAGATTTTAAAACATAATTTCCTAGGCAAATTTTTAGTTTTGTAAGTATTTGCAAATTATATAATTAGTCTAGACATATAGATAAACTTGTTGAAAATAAAGGCCTTTCTGTCATAAAAGTCAGAAGAGGGTAGTACATGACATCCTTGCTTTTGTCTTCTGTTTAATTTTAATTATTGATGATTTTTTCCATAAAAATTATCTTTGTCAAAAAACATTATAAGTAATCAAACAAAAAGAACTTGCGTTTTTAAACTGTGGCTTTGTTCTTAATCTGTTTTTGGAACATAAAATAGTTTTGAATTGCATTTATAATGTATATTATTTATGCCAGCAGATCTTCCTAAAACTCAGTTGAATTTTATTATTCTAAGACTCAAAAGAAAAACTGATCATAGTTAAGATATGAATTGTATTTTTAGCCTATAGGTTTTGCATTAATTGGCCCAGTTTTGAGGAGACTTTGGTTACAGCACAAACCTTAGTTTAGCTCTTCACTCCTGCAGAGACTGGTAGAGACCATTCCTATCTCTGCACATGGAGCTGTTTTTGCTAAAATAAATGGAGGCATTCTTGCTAAAATATATTTGTGCTAGTAATTATCCTGAAAAATAATTAAAAGCCCTAGCCATATGCATTTTCTTTCTGAGATAAAAACTTATTTTTAATTGTATTCTGAATTACTTATAACATATTGTTATTAGAGCTCTGGTTTCAGCTACCAACTGTAAAGAAAAGCTTTAGTCTTTCTAGAGTTCTTTAGAGAGCAGTTCATCTCTTCGAGCCATCACACAAAAATAATTATCTCTGGTGTTGTTTTAATAAAAAGAAGGCAAGCTCCAAGTGAAGGGAGGAGAGTAGGGGTAGAGAGGATGGATTCAGGCTTGAATAGATGTGAGAAGAATGCTTTACCCAGTGAGCCCAGCACCGGGCTTTTTTCCCCTAAGACCTCGGAATTGAAATTCTTATGCTGCTATGGTTATAACTGATTACCAGCTAGTCAGCACTTCAGTGAATTTGAAGTTTTATTGAATTCCTCCTAACATGGTCAGTGGCCCCAAAGCTTTTAATGTTCAAATATACTGGCGCATTTGCCTCTGTTTATTCTTTATAGTGCCTTCCATAAAATGGAAGTTATGGAAAGTGCCTTAAGGGGAAAGTCTTAAATGGTGATTGCCTTTAGAAGGTATATATCCTTGCTACATTGTTTATGTGACAGTTTTTAATTAAGTTATGATTTAGTACATTATACCTTTTGCTTTGCATCTGCAAAGTTAAAATAGGCACTTGAAGACAATTAAAACATTTCTTTCGACTAGTAATCTGGGACAGCAAACTGGGTTATAATAGCCGTTGAATCTGTGTTCCCATGTAAACTGTACACCAAATGCCAGTCAGCCCATGCCAATTAGTGCTCATGTTGCTAGGTCACCGTGGTCAATTGAAAGCTGCATCAATAGAACTTGAAAAGGTTTCCTCCCAATCAGACCTTCTGACATATTGAACAGAATAATGGATGGGAAAAAACAGCCAAGTCTCCTACCCTGGATTCAAAATACTCAGCAGTAAGAATTCATTTGCAACCTGCAATTAAGTAGAAAGAATGGATCCAAGAACGAGTCTGGACATTTTTGAAAATAAAGCCTCATTCTCCTGTCGTGTACATGTTTACTATTTGGATAGCATCTTAAATGTAGCCAACTTGGTGATCTTGGGTCTACATCTTTAAGTGACTAAAAAGGAAATTTCCCAATTGAAAATGAACAAAATAATTTTTAAAAGTCAGAACTTCTCAGTTGAGTTTAAACATCCATTGTAATAAATGCTCATGCTTCATGAAACATGTTAGATTATACTGGATATAAGGGACACAAAGGCCATTCTGATACTCTGTATCCCATATGATAAATCCAGGTAAATTGGATTGTACTAAAATTTGGAGATGATACCTGCCACTTTTAGGCTTTGTGCTGTATAGTAGGCGTGGCTTCTGATGTAAACCTGGTACTTTTCTACAGAGGCGTTGGGGCTGAACCTCTGCTCCCATGGAACCGGATGCTGCAAACCCAGAATGCAGCCTTCCAGCCAAACCAGTACCAGATGCTAGCTGGGCCTGGTGGGTATCCACCCAGACGAGATGATCGTGGAGGGAGACAGGTAAATGGGTTGTGGGATGAAAAGCATACTGCTCACTTTATATTTCAACAAGGCTCACAGGACTCCATATTTTCTTACCAACATTTCTGGAGAAGACACTGATAGAGTATCTTGGCTGAACTTTGGTCTGTCATTAAAAATGTATATGGGTTGAGTACCTGCCTCACTAAATAGGTTATATACCTTGAAGATGCCAAGGAATTTCTAACCCAAAAGCCCTTTAAATCATAGCAGTCAGTGATAATTAGTCCAAATATAGTCAGTCACCAAAACATTGTTTTTTCTTTAAGGATATTGTTCTTTAGTAGAACCTAGATCCCTCATAATGGGTGATTTTCTGGAAGCTGGAAAGTAAGTCTACTTTTTCAGCTGTTGTCTTTTAGAAGTCATTTTAAAATGTCATTTTAGAAGTCTCCTGTCTTGATTCATCTGATATGCCTCCTCATAAATCTCTGCTTGATAATCTTCCACATATTTTTCTTCTCAATGTAAGCAGCTGTATCACTGAATGTCATAATTCCTAGACAAATTTAGTATATGTAAGCTTCATTTCTTTCTCTTTACAGCATCCAGTTTTAGCAGCATTTAAGACTGAGGTCTGTTTGACATAATTTCCTCCAGCAATTTGACAGCCTGGCCAGTATTTACATGCTCTTAATGGAATCCTTACTAGAGAACAAGATTGGAATGCTATGATTCAGAGTGTAGTGTTTATGGCGTTTGGCACCTGCAGTGATGTGAAGTGGTTTTTAAATTGCTTACCTGGTGTTGCCTCCAGGCCTTGCGCAGTGCTTCACATATTAATTAGTAAGACCTCTCTTCTCACAGCTAAGGAACATATTTTGTATACTTTTTTGATGTATTCTTACAAGTATCTCCACCTTACAAGAAGATAATCACCTTAACTGCAAATAGTTAATGTCTTCTGAGAGGATTTTTTTACAGTTTATTTAAATCAGTTTATAGAATTTTGCTTTGAATTATTTCAAACCAGGACCCCTCAAAATCACATCAGTGAATTAAGGCTCTTTATGTTACTGTGGTTAGATGGCACTAGGCAGTTTCAGTGATGAGCATTTTTGAAGTGAGGACATATTTGTAACTGAAAGAAACTTGGAGAATGTATAGTCTAGTCACCTCATTTTCCAAGTCAGGAACTGAAACCCTAAAAACCCCACACAGTTGGGCGGGAGAGCTGGGGGCTGCCTAGACTGCTGACCCCAGTTCATCCATTTTCCTCCCTCCTTTGGAGATCTTCCTTTTAAAGGAACTCTCTGCTATTGTAGGAGGTAAAATTCTTATTTACTTAAAAGATATAAACTAATTGGTAAATTTATTATTCTTTTAGCACTTTTTGAAAATAACATTTCTTCTTTCTCAGTCTCTTTTCCACGGAGATACTTTTTATTAAACCACAATGTTTGAAGCACTATTAAATTGCAGAAGTCTGTTGTTAAAAACATAAAATCATTACTTCATTGTATGTTTAGTAAAGTTTTATATGACCAAACAAGGCCTTAGCCTACATTCTGGCCTTGAGTCTGCACATGTTCATCATATTTAAAGTACTGAAGTGCTCTCTGGGTGGCAAAATGAGGTGGGAGGGGTTCCATTTCAAAACCCGAGAGGCCTAGAAAAGGACTTACAGTGAAGAGGTGTCAGGTTTATCTTTTGTTATACAGAAATGTTATTTGCAAGCATTCTAGGATATGTTTGTTATAAAGGTCATTGCTAATGGATTGTGTAATAACCTTAATATATCATTTAATGTCCTACTTTTTGTTGCTAAATAAAAAAATCCCTAAAATCAATTTGGCCTTAACTGACTTAGCAAGCTCTTGCCTTGGTTAAAGCAAAGTTACTTTCCTTGTGTAGTAAGTCTAAATTGATGTGGGTATCTTACAACAAAGTGACTTGAATTACTACTGCTAGGACGGTGGGAAAATTGAGAACCACTGTCTGTACATGTTGTTTACACAAAACACTTAACTCTAGTGCATTTGTGTGCATTTGTGATTGTTAAGGTTTTTTTTTTATTTTTCAGTAATAGCATTTGTGCTAGCCTCCAACTTTGCAACAAGTTTGTGTTAAAGCTCTGGATCAAAGCACCTGTTTATGGGACCTTTCCATATGCTGTACCTTTAACACATACTCAGTTTCTTTATGATGTATTTTTCCATAGAAGTGTAAAATTAACTGACTTGCAGGAGTATCAGTCCAGAAAATAAACTCTTTTCTTTTGTTTATTTTCAGGGATATCCCAGAGAAGGAAGGAAATACCCTTTGCCACCACCCTCAGGAAGATACAATTGGAATTAAGCTTTTGTAAAGCTTTCCCAAATCCTTTCATCATTCTACAGTTTTATGCTATTTGTGGAAAGATTTCTTTCTCAAGTAGTAGTTTTTAATAAAACTACAGTACTTTGTGTATTTCTTTTGACTGTGTATATTTCTACTGATCTGATCTCACTGTTTATGTTGCTTTCCAAAGATGTATGTTGCATAATACAGTGGGTCTGAATTTATTATTGCTTATAAAACACAATTTGATGGAATAGGAGTACTGGTTTTTCATTATGGTTAAAAATGAAACCAGCTGTGGATTTCAAAACACAGTGTATTCTAGATCATCTAAGATCCATGCTGATTTTTATTGCACAAGAATTAGGTTTGAACTCTTGAGCTGGAACCCTCAGCAAACTAGAGTATATATTGTTCAGTATTTCTTTGGAAACATTTCATTAATGTACTTGTCTTACAGAAATTTCTGGACTTTAGTAAAAAAAAATAAAGTTAAACTTTTGAAACTCTGTTTTGTGTTCTTGTTATTTTGCAGTATTTCTACTTTGAAAATCTTGACCAAGCATGGTTTTTTAAAACTAACTTTTGCAGAAAACTATTTATTTCTATAATCAGATGTCAAACCAAAGGACAAAGAAGTCAATTTGAAGAAGTAGATTTTAAAAGATAGGGTCAGCAAGACATAACAAAAGCTTTAACTTTGTTGTATTAGTATGTCAGTGACCTGGCTAACTCAAAAATCTTTGTGAGATAAATAACATTTTTACAAATTTAATGTAGACTTGTGCTCCAGTTTTAAGGACTTGTTTTAAATCTTCAAGTTGACAATTAATGGCCAAATAGTCTATGCTCCTTAGCATATTTTTTGTATTTCATTAGATTGCAGTTTGTACTCATGTTTTTCCTTGCTACACTAAGCACACTATAAATTGCTTAAATGTGTGTTTGGAGTTCACATACGGCACTTACGTATGCATTTTCATTTGATTACCAAAACATTTAGACATACATACAAAGACTATTGCTTTGTTTCAGTTTTTCCCTCCTAGCCCAAGATTGTGAGGCAAAGTTTCTCTTTGACCTCCTGACTTAGGGCATTTTTGCTTTAATATTCAATTGAAGCGTACTTGCTAAACTTATTCGGGGGGGGGGGGGGGGTGAAAAAAAATCTCACCTCAACCTTGAATAGGAAGGTATTTTGTAGCTATTGAGTTCATTGCTAATGATGGGTGACCAGAGCAGGATCCTTTATTGTTGAGACAAAGAGTCTCTCCATCAGGAATGACCAATCCAACCCTTACATAATTGCCTTCGCTCAACATTCAAGTGATAATGTCTTCTATTAAATTTCTCTATAAGTTTATCTCCCAAGTATTAAAAATATAGATAGCCATCTCAGTAAAGCATTGCATTTTCCAAAGGAGTAAATGTTTTACTGTTCATAGTTCACAGTCAAAACCCACAATTCCACTCTTTATATTCTCATACCTTTAGTTTTGACTTAGTTTTATTTTAAGCTGTCTTGAGAATTCGGTTTTTGACTGTTTAAAGCACTGTTTGGAAGACATCTGAGCAAAAGGCCTGATGGAGAAACTGATGACAGCAGATTTCCTCTGCAGAATTGGCAGGTGTTCCCTCCCTGAGCCAGCTTCAGGCCCTGCTCCTGACCTCACCCCTGCTGCTGCCTCTCCATCCTTAGTCTTCATCTCTTTCCAACTTGTCTCCGCGTTTGAATCTTCCAGGAAAATGCCCTGCCCATTTCAATAAGCACAATGCTTTTTAGAGCTTTAATGTTTAAAGCTGTAAATATCTCCTCCAAATTCTGATGTAAAAATAAATTCGTTGGGCCAATTTTAAGTAGTTATTTGTACGCAATTATATTCTCTTTAAACGGCACATTTTTTCAGGGTCTTCTGTTAAACAAAAAAAAAAATCTTAGAACCTGGAAACAGCTTGACTACTCTGGGGCTAAGGGCCCGTAATGAGCAGTTGTCTTCCCTTTAAAGATCAAATGGGGTAATGTATGTTAATGTACAAAGCCGTCTACAAACTGGTATTAGATTGCCATTTAGCGTTACAAAGGCAAATTGGGTGTAATGAGCGATAGGTTAATTTTCGTACGATGACGTGGGATGCCAGGAACAGGCCGGGTGAGGCCGGGGTCCCAGCACTTCCTTGCTGGGCGCGCCTGGACCGAAATGAAGGGCCCGGGCGCGGCGACCTCACAGCCAGGGGCGGGATGGTGGCGGCTCCCGGGACCCGCAGGCTACTCAGGGCTCAGGTCCTAGGTGCTTGGCTCAACTTTCTCCCAGCGGGGTTGGGAAGTGCCGGCCCTCGATGCACGTGGGGCACGCGCCCGGCGCCTGGGTCTCCCCAGCGGCTCATTAGCCGCCCAGCCCAGCCCGCAGACGCCGCGACTGGCCCTCCCGGGAGCCCCGCGAGCCGGCCGCACGCACAGGATGGGCGCGGAAAGCTCCTTCCTCCACCCTCGGGCGCACCCTCCTTCCTCGTCCGCGTCCCCTCACGCGGCGCCGCAGCTTCTCAACCTGCCGCTGCATCTCAACTCCCTGTACAGATGCAAGCAGCAGAGCTGTAGAATACCAGAAATGGTCTTCCTTCCGAGGCTGCTGTTTTAAGTTCCAAGTGTGAAAGTAACCGAATTTAGCTATGCTTTGAAATCTAAAATCCGGACATTCCCTGAAGAGTCAAGTTAGAGCTCCCAATTCCTCGATCTGGCTCCGTCCCACTGACTGACGCCTCCTGCCCACCCCGAAAGGGTCCTGGAGCTGCGATCTCGCCAGACTCTATTCCTGGTGATCCACTGCTCTGCTATTTCCCATTAGGAATGAACGAATGAACTAGCAAACGGCCCATTCTCGATGGATTTCTCCTCCACCCAGTAAAGCAGAATCCTCCTGTGGCTTGTTTCTCCATGCCTTATTTATGGAATGAGGGCCAAAAGAGAACAGGCTTTAACTGATGTGTATGAAATAGGAATACAGCTGTTCACTACTGCAAAACAGTTTGCACAACTTAAATTTAGGCAATGTTCCTAGTGAAACTTTTTTTTTTAGAAGTCACCTAAAACAATTACTGAAGGTTACATGGAATTTCAAAAAACGAAAGGCATTTCATTCAATTGCAGGTAAACATTCTAAAGCAAAAACAAAACCAAACCCACCTCTCCCAGAAACTTACATTACCTCTAAAGTTAAAAATAATATAAACAAAAGTGATATTGAAATCACAAAGTTATCTCAATACTTACTGGAGAGCGCAAATTCCTGATGGGATGCAAATGCAGTTCCCCAGTCTAGGTATCTTCTTCGAAACTTCCCCAGATGTTCACCAAATCTCACTAGTAGTGAAAGGGTATTTATATGTTTAAAAATGTATCATTTTTCTCTCACTGGGTTGCAGGATAACAAGTAATAGTGTTTCAAAAAACTGTACTCAAATAATTAACATACAGGGTTTCATCCACACATTAGGGTTATGGTAAGCAGTGAGGGAGTATTATCCATGCTTTGAACTCTGTCTGAAATTTGTGTTGCCACCACATAATGCATTATGTTCTCTTCGGCACAAATTCACATCTAAAAATCCAATTGATAGGTCTTTATATAATTATGGCTCACAAATTTATTCTAAAAAGTCTTTTAAAATAATCAGTATTCAATGCAGTTAACAAAGCAAGTCTATGGAAGATGCTTGCATTTAGTGAACAGGACTGAGTCTCTGATTTGCTTTAAATTGAAAGTAAACAGTCGCTAGCCGAATGGAGTTTGAACACAACATCTGTGTTGATAGAAGTCTGACTGACTACTTGTTCTGACCATTAAGTTTTAGCTCTAAGCAAAGACTTAAATAGAAGACAACTGGGTTACACCCCCATCCTTCCATATACAAAACACCCTTCTTGTGTCCTTCTAAACTGCACACACTCTCGCACACACAGCACTTCAATATACATCCCAACACATATTACAGAAAAGTACCTGCAATCCCTATGTTCCTGTCTGCAACTTTGATTCTGGCTTTTGGTTTCCATGCCTCAATTGGAAAAGGTAAGTCAGATTCTTGTAAAACCCAAAAACATTTAGGAAAAGGTCACATCTGCTGAGTAAGCATTTTTGAAACAGGTTTGCTGTGGCCTCTGCCAAACTTTGAGGGCCCTTTGTTTCACTCAGACCCTGCGCCAGTCCTCCCTCTTAGTTGTGGAGACACTTATCCTCCTCTTCAGTTAATGAGTTTCACCTAGTCCGGCCGTTTGTATTTTTATAAAAGATCTGCAAAGCACTAATTGCAGAAAGAAGAAAACAGCTCTTGTTTTGCATTAATCAGAAGGTGGGATTCTATGGTAAAAACATTTCTATTTTAAGCTGCAAGAATCAAACCTTTCCCTAATTTCAGGATATGCACACATACACTCAGTAAGTCTCTGGGTATAGAATGTTAAGCCCTTTGCAGCAATTATTTCTGGCTTGGGGTTTTTTACTGCTTAAAGGAATGCTGAAAGGAAAAAGATACGCCCACACAAAATACACTTTCAGAAAATACTGTATATAAAAGTTGTTTCTTCTTAATGTGACATATTTTTAAAAGAAAGTGCATGCCTTCAGTCTAAAGGATTTTTTTGTTCCAGAAATAAACTGTCCATGAAGACTTATTTTCTTTATGTTACCCGGAGCCCTTGGACTATAAGCTATTACTGTTTTTGTAGGTATTGGACTGTAACAAAAAACGCTGCCAACCATGTGGACTTTTAGAACGTTTTCTACAAGTAAAATTTCAGAATTATGGTACTATTGTGAGGAAATCAAACTAATATAAACATTCTGAAATTTGGCACATCAATAATAGTCTTGCTAGCTTAGTTAACATTTCTAAAGTCATTTCCATTAATATGCCAAAAAACCCCTAAGTTGAGAGAATTTTCTGTGGGTGTATTGTAACATTTTCATACAAATCTGTCTGCTCAAATTATTTGTTCTTACATAAAATGTCTCAAAAATTAGATCTCATTTTCTAAAAATTCTTTTACAACCCCTTGATAAAGGGTGATTTCCTTGCTTCTTTAGCGGTTTTCTCCCTCTGTGAAAGAAACTAGAGTTTTAAAAAATTACTATGCAAGAGTCTAGAAAAAGTGCAAGTTTAACTTCTAAAACACCTTCTTATGAATTCATGTTGCACAGTCAGAAAAACGTTCTAACAATGAAGTGAAACACAATGTTTCAGCCCCAAGCTGTAATTCTAAAATCTCAAATGTAGAAGAGGTTTGGGGTCTCCGGTAACTATTTGTTTTGATCATTTGCAAATCATGCTTTATCCACGTTATTTCTTTAATTTTCATTAATTTTATAAACACACACTCTTCAGCTTTTAGTATTTTTACTCCAATACCAGTCATTTATGAGTTAACTGAGATATGTTGTCACATCATGACAACTAGTATTTTAAAAACGCGTCAAGTCCTGTATAAACTTAATGAAAAAGAAATGACCACTTGACTTTTAGAAAAAAGAACTTAAGTTTCTTTTAAGTTATATTTAAATATCCATTTGAAACATAGGAAATATAAATCGACATATTAAAGAGTAAATACATTATTTGTACAATAAAACACCAACAAAACCAGTGCAACTCCTAAGTTCTAAATATGGTGGGAAAATTATAAATATTTTAGTTACTCATTCCTTATATCTTGATTACAATTCAATACATCACCTTTCTTCTTCTTGTCATGCTTTGAATATAGATTAATTGATGTAAATTCTAGAAATTTTAATTGTTTGTTCTAGTACTTTATCAAGGTATTCAAATTCAGGCAAGAAAATACCTCAAAAAGAGTAAATACCATGTTTACAGAAGGATAGGGTTATTTATTTTCTCAGTTGATTTTGGGAGACCAGATTGCATATACAAATAGTATACAACCTTCCTTTCTTATGGTGAGCTGCATCTTAGGGGGGAAAATCCTCTTTTAGGGTAACCTACAAACACTCATTTGCCAAATAACCATCAAAACATTTTGAAATCAGCATTAAATTTAAAAAGCTCCATCAATCCATATAATCAGTATTCTATTTTGATTCCATTGCTCTATTACCTAAATGGCAATAATTCCTCTGCAATAATGTTGCTATGTGTATGATCCACCTTGAGCTACAATTCAATTTACTTTCAATCAAACATTAATGAAATTGCACTTATGGGGCCCTTCGAAAATTAATCTCCCAAGATAAATTCCACTTCAGAAAGGACTCATTGTTAAAGCTGGGTTGATTTTTAGAGTTACAAACGCCAACAAAGTTTCCAACTTTGAGAGCTGTGGTTAAGAACGCCGTGTGAACTTCTCCATCTTTTCGCGTCATTTAAGAACTTCTAGGACGAGAAAATCACCTCAAAGCCTCGTGGCATAATGTTACACTACTCGGTTTCCGGGCTGTCGCTGTCCCCCGCCCCCAGCAAAGAGGTTCACAGCCTGCCCCTCTCTGAGATCGGTTCGTTTTGAATCGCCGTTTACACGCGCGAGTCAGTTTTCGCATGCCTCCCCCACCCGTTCTAGCAGTTTCTTGCAGACCCTTCGGCTGCACCAGGTCCTAGCCCCGGGGCGCCCTCGCTGTCACCACGTCCTGCCATAGAGCAGGTTGGCGCCCAGGACACCACCGCCGTACTCTCCGGCGGCCGGGTCCAGGGCCGCCAGGCCGCCCCCCGGGCCGTGCAGCGCGGGTGGGCTGGGCGACAGCTCCTCCAGCTCAGGCGCGGGCGTCGGGGCCGGCGGCTGCGGACCGGCCTGGCCAGGGGTGGGCGTGCTGGCACCGTTCTGGCACGGCTTGCCGTCCTTGACCAGCACGGGCACAGCCACGCGGCGCGGGGACGGCGGCGGAGGCGGCGGCGGGCCCAGGCCACCCTCCTGCTGCAGCTGCTGTGCCGCCTTGTCCTTGGCCTGCCGTTTCATTTTGTAGCGGTGGTTCTGGAACCAGATCTTGACCTGCGTGGGCGTCAGGTGGATCATGCTGGCCAGGTGCTCGCGCTCGGGCGCCGACAGGTACTTCTGCTGCTTGAAGCGCCGCTCCAGCTCGTAGACCTGCGCCTGCGAGAAGAGCACGCGGCGCTTCCTTCGCGGAGCGGCAGCCGCCGCCGCCGCGTGCAGCGGGGCCAGCGACTTGGCAGCGTCCGCGATGCCCGTCAGCGACCCCATGCCGGCCACATTCACGCCCGCCGACGGCCCCATGAACCTGGAGACTGGGGAAGAGGCCCAAGGGGGAAGGCAGGTGAGCTCCAGGCCCGCCGGGAGCCGCTCCAGCCGCCGCTCTCTTCACGCCGCGGCGGCCGCGACGCTGCCGGGCCCTCGCTGAATCCCAGGACCCCCTGAGCGCCGCGGCCCCGGGCCCCAGCACGCCCCGCGCTCCCTCGGCCGGTCCCAGGGCACCGCGCGCCTCAACAGGTCCCAGGACTCCGCGCGCGTAACCAGTAGGGTCCCAGGACCCCCCGCGCGCCCAGAGTCCGTGGAAACCCCCTGCGTCCCGGGCCGCGTCCCAGAACACCCAGCGCGCCCGCTAGGTCCCAGGACCGCCTAAGCCGCGCGCACCCCGTCCCGCGCCCCCCGGCTGTGGCGGGAAACGCCTGAGCCGCCCGCAGTCCCGCGCTCCTGGCCCCTCTCACTTGACGAGTAGCGTGGGTCCGGGTTGGCGCCGTACCAGCCGGTGGCCGCGCCGCCCCGCATGCCGTCCGTGTAGGCGGGCAGCTCGCCCATGTTGCCCAGGCCGCCGTTGCAGTAGCCGCCCATGGCGCCGTGCGGGAACTGCGAGACGCCAGGCGGCATGTGGTAGGTGGCGGCCGCCGCCGCCGCCGCTGCTGCCGCCGCCGCCGCGGCCGCCGCGTTGTGACCCGCCATGGCGTGAGGGGGCTGCATGCCTGCCACGGTTGCCGCCTGCGAGGAGGGCCCGGGTGGCGGCGCGCGGTAGGCGGCGGCGGCCGCGGCCCCCAGGGGCGCCCCCAGGCCGGGTGGCGCGCCGTCCATGGCGCCGCCGAACTTCTTGTAGGTCTCCTCGATGGGGCTCAGGATGTCGGACACGGAGAAGGGCGTCGTGTGCTTTGGGCTCAACGACATGGCTCGGCGGGCGACCAGGTAGGGGGCCCGGGGCGCGCGCCGGCAGGACGCGGCGGCCGCTCGTCGCCGCCACCTCGGCTGCGGCAGCTGAGCCTGTGACGAGGAGTCGGCGGCTCGGCGAGCCCCCCGGGCTGCGGGATCTGGGGTTTATTTTAGTCCGGCGCCAGGTTTACGACAGACTCGGGGGGCGGAGCAACATCCCAAACGAGCAAACAATGGTCATTGACATCTTTTTCTCTCGCTCCCCCCAGCCCCCGCCCCATAATGGAGGCAAAAAAGGTAAAAGCGGCAGTTGGGTGTTTCTTGGAAAGATCACCCCCCGTTGCTTTTCCCATCCTTCGCCTCTCCATCTGCGGCCGTTACCCCAGCCCTCGAGCTCCAGAAATAGAAACTCGGAGGTTGGCGTCGAGGCTAGACAGGAAGGACTCCTCGCCTGGTCCCGTCCAGACCCCAGTTTTCTAAAGCGACTTCGATGCAAAGTCTGGTATAATTGCGGAGTGGGGAACATGCTGCTAAGTTTGGGGGGAGGGTGTTGCGGGAGCTCGCTTCGTCCTCTCCAGTTACCAGTCCCTCATTCGCTCCATCACCTAAAGTGTTAAAAAAAAAAAAAAAAAAAAAAAAAAAAAAGACTCTTGGGTCCCACCGTAAGAGCGCATAAAGAGAGGAGGTACAATGACCGTCCTTTGCCATTGTAGGGCTCCCTAATTTATGCGTCTTTAGACCCTTGAGCATCATTTTGTGGGCAACCAAACGGGCACTTCCAAATTAGCTCAAAGTATCCAAGCCCAAAGAAGAGAGAAAACACACAGACACTGATAAATACGCAGATACTAACTTGTAAGTATTCTGTTTTTCCTCTGTGGGGATGGAGATTGAACAAGGGAAAGAGGGGGAACATTTTTATTTCCTAAAATATTTCATACTGAGTTTACACTTGAAAAGTTGTTTTTACCGCTTTCTTTCCCTTTGTGTGTGTTCTTTCTCTCTTTCTCTCAATAAATATCTCTGACTTAAGTTTATTCTCCCATCACTATCATGATCAAAAAGAAAAGACAAAACATCAAAACTTCCAAATATTTCTAGTTGTTCGCAATGGGCCTTTTTGTTGTTGTTGGAAAAATATAACCTGTTCAAGCGGTATGAAAATGGATGCAGAAATCAGGTGAAAATTGTAGTTTCTTTGGAAAAATACAAAACCATAGATAAACAGATCTTTAAAACTTTGTCATCCTTTGACTTGCAGTTTTATCTGAATACTTAGACATTACGAACTCTCTACTAAATACTGAACAAGACAAAGCATAAGACAAAAGAAGTGCAAAGCATATTGATTAAATTTTGAAAACAATCTTGCAGCAATAATAATGATAACGGGGAAATGAAGATAAAATTTGTAAGTTTTCCTGGAAACTGGAGCAGGAGAAAGAAAAACACGGAGAGTACTTTCTTAAGCAATATTTTACGCGGTTTTTTTTTTGTTTTTTTGTTTTGTTTTGTTTTGTTTTGTTTTTTCCAGAAAAGGGTGTGTGGAAACGATTTAAGTTTAACCTGACAGTACATGTTTTGAAGGCAAGAACAGTATTACATATTCCTTTTTCTGTTTGGTTTTAGCCCTTTGGTGGCAATGTGTTCCATGGTTTTGTTCTTATGATTTAAATTATTGTTTTGTTAATCTCAGTATAGTTTTGCAAAGAATCTGCCCTTTCTAGGGGGGGGAAAAGTCATAGGTCACCTATGGGAACGAAGTGACAGACGAATGTTAAGAGTAATGTTTTAATATACTGTAAAAATAAAATGCAAGGTTACAAGAATTGTTTACAGACATCAGTATTGACTTAGCAAGATTCATATTGCTACAGTTTTAACATGATGCTACTTTTACAGGCCTTTTATGAACTTGAAACACTTGGGCTATGTCTTCATCCTCACCTGCACTGGAATTACCTACTTAAAAAAACAAACAAACTAATGATACACAAAGAAGCATTTATGTATGTATTTAAACACTTGCTGGGATCCTTCTGAAAACTACAGTTTGGATTTTACATTTCCAGTTTAGTTTAAATTGTATTGTTTACTTGTATGTATTAGCTTAAATAAAATAGAAAGTCATTTCAAACGTTTCTCAGAGACAACAGGGTAAGTAAAAAATAATTGTGTTATGACATCTGTGAATATAAAAGTTATTTGTAGACCATTATATTTTATTTTTCAAGTTCAAATGTATTTCAAAAATAAAATTCATTATCATAATCTCCATATTGATTAGTTGTCCAAATTGAAAGGTGTTTACAATTCTAATTTTTTCCAGATGATTGTTAGTTACTCTGTTTTCAGGCTATACATTTCATCTCATGTAATTTTCTTTGTAGAACTTTGACATCGCAGTTAACATTAAGTGGTTGTATTACAATTTTTGCTTACTTTGCTTTTCAACTGCATTGGGTCCTGTTATGAATGCATATACATCTGGAATGCTTCCATCTTTAAATTAAAAGCACTTTATCACATCTGAAGGTTCTCTGCAGTAAGTCACTTTCTGACTGCTTAGGAATTTGATAAGCCAAATAGTATTCCATCACTATAGGTAAACAGTTCTGGGGAAGAAAAATCTACAATTTTTGACATTTCTCCCTGTCAATTGTTTGTATCTCATTCTAGAAATTACGTATCTTCATGCCGGAAACACTATTTGGATGTGTGTGGATGATTCTGAAAATTGATATAGTCTGAAGGATGTGTATGTACATTTGTATATAGATACAATATAACCCAATTGATATTCCATTGAAGCTTTGTATTCATTTCATCAGATTATCGTGTACCTAAATTACGTGTGGAAATTTATACTTAGTATATTCTCAAATATTATTGACTAAACTGCATTTCACAGGAAATTTATTTCTCAGGAGTGTTTTCTCATTGTTTTCCTTAAAAAGCAATGCTGGCACCCAGCAAAATAATACAATTAAAAAATAAAATAAAATGCAAATACTACCTAAAGGAATACAGTGAAAAGAAATGGTTCTCACTCTCCTATCCTTCAAGCCTCCCAGTTCTTCCCCTCAGAGTATTTGGTGTTACCTGTTTCTTTTGGAATAGCCTGTCCATCTAGAAGCATACTACCATTTTACACACAAAGGATAGCATGCTCTATGTGATTTGGTACCTGCCTTTTTCATAGATTAGGTTTTCATAGTTTCACACATTACAACATTGAAAGCAGACTAAGATAGGCTGTGGCAGATACAGAAATTTTTTCTAGACAAAAAGACAAGATTTTTCTAGATAAAACACTCCCCTGGCTTTCTAGCAAAAATGTGGAATTTATTGAAAATCTCTGATGTGTTGGATAGCCTTAGTGCCAAAAATATTTAGCAAAACAATTCTGAAGAAAGAGTCTTCTGCGGTTTGGATTTGCTGTTGGCAGACACAAGCTCAGCAAAAGGGACTTGGGAGGAGTTGAGAAACTTCTGACATACCCACTTTGAAGTGGGGGTCCAGCCAGTACTTAGAGGGAAATACTGTTTTTCTAGGTGGTGAATAGGTTTCCAGTGGGTCTTGTATTTCCTCATCAAGACTAACTGAAAATATAACTTTCTGCTTGATACCCAAAAACTTAAGTGCCTTTTAGAACTGAGACACTTGCTACATTTGCAGTTAAACTAGTTGTGAAATAATTTGATTAATAAAAGTTTTATGTTGTAGAAGTAGCCTTAAAATACTGTCTTTGCAGTTGGGAAGGTAATAAAGAAACATCTTAAGGAAACTAGTATTTTGCAGCAAAATTTGAGGTTATAAAGAGGAAAATAAAACTACCATAGAGATGAAGCACGAAGTTTATTTGAATTATTTTACATTTTTTTTTTTTGCTAAATTCATCAGTTTCTGAGATCTGGTTCTCATTTCTTTTTAGTCCCTCTATAAGCCTTTTTCCAATAGTGTTCATTTCAATTATTTTAAATGTCTTATGGTAATTTTACACTTCTGTTTATAAAGCTTTGTTATTTCTATGTAACAGTAATCCTTTCATATTTTCTTCACAAAATAGAAACTCCTGGAAGTTTACTCAAAAAAATCTTGTGATCCTTTTCCTGAGATTCAGATATTTTAGACTGAAAATTGTTTTCTGACCAATGATAATTGGTACCAATGAACATATTAAGCTAACACAATCATTAGTACAGTGTGAGAATGAATAGTAGGTGATGAAGACATTTTGTTGTCAAAATTATTGTAATATGGTCCAATGAAATGATTCCTCCTCCCATCCCCCTAACGAAAAAAACAAAACAAAACAAGAAACCTCCCCTTCTAGGGTCAAGCTGTAACACCAGTTTTTACAGTCAGAGTAGACAATAACATTGGGCTATAACAAGGGAGTAAAAATAGGGAAATTATCCAGTATGTCCCAATTATCTCACCCTAGACTTAGGAGCTTGAGCCACAAATTCAAATTTTTCTATGTTAAAAATTATTTTTTAGAGTAATAATACATGTATGGGAAAAACAATGGCAATATTGAGATACAATTTTTTATTTCTGAATTACAAGTTTATTGTGTATTTTGTGCATATAGAAAGTTTAAAATATTTTAGAACATAGTGGTATTTCCATTGAACAACATTTTTTAGATGTTTTGGAATGTCATTAAATGACTCTTTTATAGGAAAAAAGAGTCCTTTGAATTTTAAGCAAAATTACATTTCTGTTGGTTATTTCGTGTGAGGGGTTAGTTTTTCTAAGTGTTCTACCATGTTTCCAACACAACCTAATTAGAGTAAATACACAAAGCTTTTAAAAATACTTTATTTTATAACTTCTCACATACTGTCACATTTTTCAAATCTGAGATTTAGTGACTAATGTAAACTCTTTTTCTCCTACAAGTCTCATTAAAGGTGTGTCATCTTACATTTACAAATTACTTTGTAATTATCAAGGAAGGTGTCAGTTTTTAACATCTGGGCTAAGTAATTGGGTTATTTGTTGCCCCCATCAGTT